GAGGCGGAAGTTGTGGTGAGCCAAGATCATGCCATTGCTCTCCAGCCTGGGCAACAAGAGTGAACTTCCATCTAAAAAAAAAATGTGGTGTTTAACTCAAATATAAATCACTGGGTTTCACTTGGGGAAAATTTTTAAAAACAAGTATAAGTTAGATATTTCTTTTTTCTTTTTTTTGAGATGGAGTCTCACTCTGTCGCCCAGGCTGGAGTGTAGTGGCAGGTGCCAGGCTCACTGCAAACTCTGCCTCCCCGGTTCAAGAAATTCTGCCTCAGCCTCCTGAGTAGCTGGGACTACAGGCGCGCACCACCACGCCCGACTAATTTTTTGTATTTTTAGTAAAGATGGGGTTTCATCATGCTGGCCAGGCTGGTCTCGAATGTCTGACCTTGTGATCTGCCCTCCTTGACCTCCCAACGTGCTGGGATTCCAGGCGTGAGCCACCGTGCCCAGCTCCACAAGTCAGACATTCCTATTGCCTATAAAAGTTACTTATGTGATATTTGCCTGTGTAAATATTGTCCCATTTTGTTTATTAATTATCTTGTTTATTTCTTTTCTCGGGTGGTTGTCAGTGTTTTATTGTCTGGATGAGTAGTCAGAAAGACAGTCTAAAATTACCATCTATTTATTGTGTGAATATATGTTATTGTGTGAGAAAAACAATTGTTATTTGAAGTAATTTTTTATAAATGTAACTATTTTTTGAAAGATGTAAATATTTGTGATTAAAAACATATAATTACCATCTTAAACATTTTAAAGTTATATACTTAAGCTCTATGTTTAGTACTTTTAAGCATATTTACATTATATGAAACAGATCTCTTTCATATACTACTGGGGAGGCTGAGGCAGGAGACTGGCTTGAACCCAGGAGGCAGAGTTGAGTAGAGCCAAGATAGTGCCATTGAACTCCAGCCTGGGCAACAAGAGGGAAACTCCGTCTCAAGAAAAAAAAAATGCCTTTCTGAGGCAGAGTAAGATTCATAAAATGTCTTCATAATATCGAAGAAATGTGTTAACTCTGTTCCAGGTAATCAACTCTGAACACTGAGCATTCTCAGTTCCCAGTATTCACCCTGAGTCATTCAGGAAAAATTGGTATCTCTGTAAGGAGACAGAAAAAGGTGTTTGGGGGAGGGTCATAATATTGCCCAGATTTCAAACGGTACATATACCTGGTCCCAAAACACAGGTAAGGTAATAACTCTCATACCTGGACAAAGACAATAGAGAGATTGCACATAAATGCTTTCTACATGCACCTGTTAGGATCTTAACCTAATTGATCTATCATTTGCATGGCTAGATAGTTACTGAATCTAGTCACACTATTTTGTTTTTTGCAGATAAAGTCATCTGTTACCTATAAGTTTCATACAATAACTTGCACAGCTGAAGCATGAAACTTTTGTTAACTTTCCCTAAATTGAGGGACTAGATTTGCAATTTCCAATCTTTCAATGTTAAAGCAAAGCAGAGAAGAGTAATGTGTGTATGTAGTATGCATTTTCTTGCTTAATTTTTAAAATTCTTCTCATATTGCCTTGGACAATCTAGGCAGTCACCTAAAACATATTCCCTCCTAATTTTTTAGCCAGGATATTAGATTTCAAAAGGTCAAGGACTTAATAATTGGGCTAAGCCAAAATCTTGTCTTTGCATCTTTCAAAGAACCAATTATGCCAAGCCATTTAAAGAAGTGGATCTGATGACTTTTATTTTATTTCAAATGTTTTCTCTAATTGTTTGCTCTAAGTGTCTTAATCTAAAAGAGAAACTACATAAAAATATACGTATTTAAGAAATATTCATGTTAAGGTGATCAAAGGTCAATATTGTATTACAGAATGGTAGAATACTCTAAAATTAGAAAGTCAGATTATTATTAATGAATTCATTATTTTTTCAACATTTTCCAATGTTGAAATTAAAGAATTGGCTATGCTTTTTAATGATAAGTTCAATTCTAGGATAGTACTCACTGGTCTACATGGTATTTTTCTTTTCCTTTTTTTTTGGTGGGAGGGAGATGGAGCTTCACTCTCGTTCCCCAAGATGGAGTGCAATGGCATGATCTCAGCTCATCGCAACCTCTGTCTCCCGGGTTCTCCCAGCGATTCTCCTGCCTCAGCCTCTTGACTAGCTGGGATTACAGGCATGCGCCACCATGCCCTGTTAATTTTGTATTTTTAGTAGAGATGGCGTTTTTCCATGTTGGTAAGTCTGATCTCGAACTCACAATTTCAGGTGATCCACCCGCCTCGCCTCCCAAAGTGCTGGGATAACAGGCGTGAGCCACCACACCCTGATGGTATTTTCGTCATGAATTATGTAAAACTGAGTTACCAGAATGGTGCAGAATGCTAACTTAATCAGAATGAGAATGAATTCAGCCGTGTTGGTAGACTATTGGTATCCCAGAGGCTGATCATTTACTTCGGCTGTGTAGACATTGCTTCATAATGCCAGTAAACCCTTTCAACCAAGTTGCCTTTGTTTCCCATTGATGTGGTCATGTTCTGGTCTCTGTTTTTCTTAAGCTGTCCCAGATGAAGGGTGATTATTTCTTGCATTAATGAGATCCCTTCTTTTTCCTCTGCCATGTGATCTTCCTATTCTCTCTACTGAAAGCAACATGTTGAAGGCAGAAATGGAGATAATATACAAATATATCCCTTGCCATGTGACACAATAAACAGCTTACAGCATCGCTTACCAAGAAGTTTGATTAATTTCAGGGAAGCAGGGGTGTTTCTCCATGATGTGCTCTTTCTGTTAAAAACACCTCTGATTAAGTTTAGTCTAATCAAGATAATCTCTGTTATGATAAACAGGAAGCCAATACGTTAGTAACATAATTACATGAATAATGTCCCAACACAGTCACACATTTTGTCACACTAAAGAGAAAAGCATACACAGCAGGTGTGCACTGAAGTGGGAACCTGAGGGTCACCTGAGAATTTTGCCTACCCACCTGAAGAGATTTCTTTCTTTGTAAATTAAAGATAATAATGATACCTTTGTTATTAAGTAACTGTGTCTGTTAGTCCATTCTCACATTGCTATAAGGACACACCCAAGACTAGGTAAATTTTAAAGAAAAGAGGTTAATTTGACTCACAGTTCAGCATGGCTGGGAACCTTACAATAATGGCAGAAGGTGAAGGAGAAGCAGGTATCTTTTTCACTAAGTGAAGAAGAGCAGGAATAATGACCACTTAAAAAACCATCCGATCTAGTGAGAACTCATTCATTATCATGAGAACACCATGAGTATCATTCCACCCATGGCCCCTTCCAAATTTCATGCCCTTTTTACCAAACATGCTTTCCCAAGAATCCCCCAAAGTCTTAACTTAATTAGCATTAACCCAAAAGTCTAACTCCAAAGTCTCATCTGAGGCAAGGCAAGTACCTATGAGCCTGTAAATCAAAAGTAAGTTAGAAACGTCCCAGATACAATGGGGTTACAGGCATTAGATAAATTCTGCCATTTCAAATGGGAGAAAATGGCCAAAACCAAAGAGCTACAGGCCCCATGCAAGTTTGAATTCCAACAGGGCAGTTATTAAGTCTTAAAGCTCTGAGATGTTCTCATTTGACTCCATGTCTCACATGTGGAGCATGATGATGCAAAGGGTGGACCCTCATGGCTTTGGGCAGCTCCTTCATGGACTGGAATTGAGTGCCTGTGGCTTTTCCAGGTGCACAGTGCAAGCTCATGGTGGATTGCACATATTGAAATAACTAAAACTGTATAATGGGATTGTTCAATAAATACATGCTTGAGGTGAGGAATACCTCATTTACTCTGTTGTGATAATTAAATAGTGTATGCCTGCATTAAAATGTCTCACATATGCTGTAAGTGTGTATGTTGGGAACAAGCCCCATAAAATCTGGCCATAAACTGGCCCCAAAACTGGCCATCAAATATCTGCAGCACTGTGACATGTTCATGATGGCCATAAAGCCCATGCTGGAAGGTTGTGGGTTTACCAGAATGAAGGCAAAGAACACCTGGCCCACCCAGAGCAGAAAACAGCTTAAAGACATTCTTAAGCCACAAACAGTAGCATGAGCAATCTGTGCCTTAAGGACATGCTCCTGCTGCAGTTAACTAGCCCAACCTATTCCTTTAATTTGGCTGATCCCTTCATTTCCCATAAGGGATACTTTTAGTTAATTTAATATCTATAGAAACAATGCTAATGACTGGCTTGCTGTTAATAAATATGCGAGGCTCTCAGCTCTGAAGGCTGTGAGATCTGTGATTTCCCACTTCACACCCCTATATTTCTGTGTTTGTGTCTTTAATTCCTCTAGTACCACTGGGTTAGGGTCTCCCCAACTGAACTGGTCTCAGCATGTGTATGCATACTATCTACCCACACATTTTTAAAAACAATCTAAATAGGGTAAAAAAGAATACAAACTTGATTTATGAGAACAAAACTCTTCAACTTATTTGCAGTTTAAACCACTGGCAGGCCAGGTGTGGTGATCCCCAGCTATAACCCCAGCACTTTGGGATGCCAAGGTGAGTGGATCACCCGAGGTCAGGAGTTCAAGACCAGCCTGGCCAACATGGTGAAACCCTATCTCTACTAAAAATACAGAAATTAGCCAGGCATAGTGGCAAGTGCCTGTAGTCGCTGCTACTTGGCAGGCTGAGGCAGAAGAATCACTTGGACCCAGGAGGTGGAGGTTGCAGTGAACTGAGATCATGCCACTGCACTCCAGCCTGGGTGACAGAGTGAGACTTCATCTGTTTTTAAATAAATTATCTTAGATTCATTATGGTTTGAGAGTTGGTTAAAGGCTTTGTTACATTTTTATACATTTATAAGATTTTTCACAATTTGAATTCCCTTATGTACAATTAAGGTTTGGACCTAGATAAAGGCTTGGCCACATTCCCTACACTTGTAGTGCTTTTTTTTTAGTATAAATTATTTTATGTATTATAAGGCCTGAGGGATGGACTTTGCCACATTATTCACATTTGTAGAGTTTCTCTCCAGTATGAATTATCTTATGTTTAGCAAGACTTGAATGCCACTTAAAAGCTTTGTCACATTCTTCACATTTGTATGGTTTCTCTCCAGTATGAATTCTCTTATGTGCCTTAACAGTTGAGGAGCAGCTAAAGGCTTTGCCACATTCTTCACATGTGTAGGGTTTCTCTCCAGTATGAATTATCTTATGTGTCTTAAGGGTCGAAGAGCAGTTAAAGGCTTTTCCACATTCTTCACATGTGTAGGGTTTCTCTCCAGTATGAACTCTTTTGTGGTAAGTGAGGGCTGCGGATACACTAAAGGCTTTGCCACATTCTTCACATGTGTAGGGTCTCTCTCCAGTATGAATTCTCTTGTGGTTAGTAAGTGTTGAGGAGCGCCTAAAGGCTTGGCCACATTCTTCACATGTGTAGGGTTTCTCTCCGGTGTGAATTCTCTTATGTCTAGTAAGGTTTGAGGACCAGCTAAAGGGCTTGCCACATTCCTCACATCTGTAGGGTTTCTCTCCAGTAAGAATTCTTTTATGTGTAGTACGGTTTGAGGAGTGGTTAAAGGATTTGTCACATTCTTCACATTTGTAGGACTTCTCCGTAGTATGAATTATCTGATGTTGATTTAGGTGTGAGAGCATGCAAAATGATTTGCCATATTTTTCACATTTCAAATGTTTCTTTCTAGTATATCTTGTATTAAGTCTATTGGAATTTGAAAATTTATCCAAGACTTTGACACATTTATGAGTCTGAAATATTTTGTTTTGGGTATTTGACAAATGTTGGTTAACTTCATTATAACCTCCTTTGCGCACCTCACACTCATCCCCTTTTTGACAACATTTTTTTAATTGTAAATTCTCATGTCCACATTTTCCATATGTTCTTGATACTACTTTCTGGAGTGAATCTTTTATGCCCTGCTCAGGCTGAGGGTCTTGGTTGAAATGAGAATACGTAACTGAAAAACATAAAAATCACAAGTTACTTCACTTACTAGACTCAGATAAATACACTGCACAAATCAAATATATAAAAGTATTCAAGGTACATTAGCAAAATGGTATATCAAAATACCACAGGTCATAATTACTTCATAGACATATGAATGTAACAAAATCATAGTGATCAAAATATCTTTGTTGGAAATTTATAAATAAAGTAAGTGTGTGCACCATGTGAGCACAATGTCAAGAACCATATAGAGTGAAAAGAAAAGTCAGCTACATTTACCCAACACAGCCCTTCCTCATCCCCAATAGAAGAACATTGTGCCTTTAATGACAGCTTTAAGTCTTCTGAGATCAAAAGTGTTACAACAGCAGAAAGACTGCCCTACCATGGACAGAAAATAGGTGTAGAAAGTAGTTACTGACCAGTAAGGAGAAATATGAAGAAGTCTTTTAACTGAAAAATAAATACAAAATTGCAGACAAGACAACATCCTGAGAACATGTTTGGGAGACTCCCAGAATCTCTACTCAAGACAATTGGTTTCAGGCTATGCCAAGAAAGAGCTGCATTATAAAGACTGTGAAATGTAGTTTTATGTTAATGTCTAAATCTCAACCAAAGATTACAATGTATACAAAATATTTGGGCAACATGGTCCAATAAAAAAAATCAAAATTTTCAAATAGCAACTATAAAAATAAAGATGTATATTTTAATTTTTAAAATTTAAGAAAATTCATATTTTGCTCAATGAGAAAAAATGGAAAACCAGACATCAGATAAATGAGAATGTCAACAAAAGGCTTGGAATAATAAAAATAAACATTTGTGGAGGTAGAAAAGAAAATGAAATAATTTAAAAGTAAGAAAAAAGTAATGTAAAAAATGAAGAAGTTAAACAAACAAAGTAGGATATACACAAAAGGATCCATAACACTTATTTAAGCAAAGTTCAAAAGTCACAAACCAGAAGATAATCTTGGGAGCTGCAAGATAAAAGTGAGGTATTATTTATAAGCCTAGTTCTCCAAGACAACCAGTGAATTTGTCAACAGAAACCTTGCCGGTTAGAAAAGAACTGTGTTAAATGGTCAAAGTGCTGAAAAAAATATTCATGGTGAAAATATAACCAGCAAAAATATACTACAAAATAAAGAAAAAATAAAGATCTTCCAGAATAAACAAATGCCGGAAAAGCATATAAGCACTGCATGTGCCCTAAACAAAATGCTGAAAGAGGTCTTTCCACTTAAAATAATATAATGGGAACAAAAAATATGAAAACACATAACTTTCTGAAAAACATATGCATACACAAAAAATAAACTTCTGTGGCATTATTGTGATGTACAGAAAACATTTTGAGTTATTCTTTAAAATTTGAAAGATGTAAGCATAAAAATAATCATAAAACATAAAAAAGATATAATTATCAACATCAATAAGAAGTATAGGGTAGATATAATGAGGACAAATTTTTCTATGCAACTGAAGTCTTTTTTTTTACCAGTTTAAAATATACTATTGCAACATTAAGAGGTTTTATAAAATCTCCAATGTAGCACAAAGAAAAACTCTTTATGGACACACAAAAGAAAATGAGTCCATTACTAGCATGAGACAAAGTCTGATATTACATAATGGTAAAATGAGTCCATTTACTAGGAATCTATAACTATTATGTCTATCTATATGTACATGCATCTATAACATCAGGGTCTCAAAATACCTAAAGCAAATATTGATAAAAATGTAGCAAGAAATAAAATAATAACATAAAATTATAAACATTAAGACCTCTCTTTCTTTTTTTTAATTACTATACTTAAGTTCTAGGGTACATGTCCACAACGTGCAGGTTTGTTACATATGTATACATGTGCCATGTTGGTGTGCTGCACCTATTAACTCCTCATTTACATTAGGTATATCTCCAAATGCTATCCCTCCTCCCTTCCCCCTCCCCACAATAGGCCCTGGTGTGTGATGTTCCCCTTCCTGTGTCCAAGTGATCTCATTGTTCAATTCCCACCTATAAGTGAGAACATGCCGTATTTGGTTTTCTGTTCTTGCAATAGTTTGCTGAGAATGATGGTTTCCAGCTGCAACCATGTCCCTACAAAGGACACGAACTCATCCTTTTATATGGCTGCATAGTATTCCATGGTGTGTATGTGCCACATTTTCTTAATCTAGTCTGTCACTGATAGACATTTGGGTTGATTCCAAGTCTTTGCTATTGTGAATAGTGCCGCAATAAACATACGCATTCATGTGTCTTTATAGCAGCATGATTTATAATCCTTTGGGTATATCCCCAGTAATGGGATGGCTGGATCAAATGGTATTTCTAGTTCTAGATCCTTGAGGAATCGCCACACTGTTTTCTACAATAGTTGAACTAGTGTACAGTCCCACTAACAGAGTTAAAGTGTTCCTATTTCTCCACATCCTCTCCAGCACCTGTTGTTTCCTGATTTTTTAATGATCGCCATTCTAACTACTGTGAGATGGTATCTCATTGTGGTTTTGATTTGCATTTCTCTGATGGTCAGTGATGATGAGCATTTTTTCATGTGTCTGTTGGCTGTATGAATGTCTTCTTTTGAGAAGTGTCTGTTCATATCCTTTGCCCACTTTTTGATGGGGTTGTTTGTTTTTTTCTTGTAAACTTGTTTGAGTTCTTTGTAGGTTCTGGATATTAGCCCTTTGTCAGATGAGTACATTGCAAAAATTTTCTCCCATTCTGTAGGTTGCCTGTTCACTCTGATGGTAGTTTCTTTTGCTGTGCAGAAACTCTTTAGTTTAATGAGATCCCATTTGTCAATTTTGGCTTTTGTTGCCATTGCTTTTGGTGTTTTAGTCATGAAGTCCTTGCCCATGCCTATGTCCTGAATGGTATTACCTAGGTTTTCTTTTAGGGTTCTTATGGTTTTAGATCTAACATTTAAGTCTCCAATCTATCTTGAATTAATTTTCATATAAGGAGTAAGGAAAGGATCCAGTTTCAGCTTTCTACTTATGGCTAGCCAATTTTCCCAGCACCATTTATTAAACAGGGAATCCTTTCCCCATTTCTTGTTTTTGTCAGGTTTGTCAAAGGTCAGATGACTGTAGATGTGTGGTATTATTTCCGAGGGCTCTGTTGTGTTCCATTGGTCTATATCTCTGTTTTGGTACCAGTACCATGCTGTTTTGGTTACTGTAGCCTTGCAGTATAGTTTGAAGTCAGGTAGCATGATGCCTCCAGCTTTGTTCTTTTGGCTTAGGATTGTCTTGGCAATGTGGGCTCTTTTTCGGTTCCATATGAACTCTAAAGCAGTTTTTTCCAATTCTGTGAAGAAAGTCATTGGTAGCTTAATGGGGATGGTATTGAATCTATAAATTACCTTGGGCAGTATGGCCATTTTCACAATATTGATTCTTCATATCCATGAGCATGGTATGTTCTTCCGTTTGTTTGTGTCCTCTTTTATTTCACTGAGCAGTGGTTTGTAGTTCTCCTTGAAGAGGTCCTTTACATCCCTTGTAAGTGGAATTCCTAGGTATTTCATTCTCTTTGAAGCTATTGTGAATGAGAGTTCATTCATGATTTGGCTCTCTGTTTGTCTGTTACTGGTGTATAAGAACGCTTGTGATTTTTGCACATGGATTTTTTTATCCTGAGACTTTGCTGAAGTTGCTTATCAGCTTAAGGAGATTTTGGGCTGAGATGATGGGGTTTTCTAAATATACAATCATGTCATCTGCAAACAGGGACAATTTGACTTCTTCTTTTCCTAATTGAATACCTTTATTTCTTTCTCTTGCCTGATTGCCCTAGCCAGAACTTCCAACACTATGTTGAATTGGAGTGGTGAGAGAGGGCATCCCTGTCTTGTGCCAGTTTTCAAAGGGAATGCTTCCAGTTTTTGCCCTCACTTTCAATAATAAAAAAATTTAAATAAAAATCAATTAAAAAACAGAAAACCTGAAGAACATTATACTGTGTATGAATTCATTTTACACTGTTAAGGAAAATAACCTGAGACTAGGTAATTTATAATGAAAAAAATTTCTTTGGTTCACAGTTCAGTAGACTGTACAAGACGTATATGCCAGCATCTGCTTCTGGTGATGATATGAGGAAGCGTACAATTATAGCGGAAGGCAAAAAAGAAACAAACATGTCACATGGTGAAAGATGATGTGAGTTTGAGTTGGAGGAACCAGGTTCCTTTAAGCAATGAGCTTTCAAGTGAATTAATAGCATAAGAACTCTATGATTGTGCCAAGTCATTCTGAGGGATTTGTCTCCATGATGCAAACACCTCTCAATAGGCATCACATCCAACATTGGAGATTACATTTCAACTTGAGATTTTGAGAGCACCTACACCATATCACAAACCAAATAGGCTAAACAGACATGTACAGAACTCTCCAGTCAAAACAAGTGGATACGCAATATTCTTATTTGCACATGGTGCATTCTGTTAGAACAGGTAAGTCTTAGCAAATTTAAAAAGATCAGCCAGGTGCAGTGGCTCACAGGTGAAATCCCAGTACTTTGGGAGGTCAAGGTAAAAGGATCACTTGGGGCAAGAAGTTTGATACCAGCCTTGGGACACAGTGAGATCCTGTCTCTATAAACAATTAAAAATTATCTGGGCATGGTGGGGTAGGTCTGTAGTGCAAACCACTCAGGAGGCCAAGGTGGAATGATTACTTGAGTCCAAGAGGTTGAGGCTGTGATGAGCCAAAATTGTGCTGCTGCACTACAGTCTGGGCAACAGAGTGAGAAACCTTGTGTCAAAAAAAAAAAAAAAAATTTAAAAAAAGGAAAAATCATACAGTGTATTTTTTCTAACCAAAGCTCAATAAAACTAAAAAGAAAAAAAGTAAAACCTGCAAATCAAAAATATACGGAAATAAACACATTCTTCAATGTATTCTTGCACAGGGTCAAATAATTTAATGTAACCTAATTTAATATTTTTGCTCAAGGCTCAACATATTTAAGTGACAATTTAATTTGTTAAGATGTCAATATATCCCACAGTGGTGAACAAATTTAATATAATCTATATCAAAATTCCAAAAGTGTATTTATTACTGAGATATTGTTTTAAATTTTTTTTTTTTTTTTTTTTTTTTTTTTTGAGATGGAGTCACTCTGTCACCCAGGCTGGAGTGCAGTGGCTCACTGCAAGCTCCACCTCCTGGGTTCACGCCATTCTCCTGCCTCAGCCTCCCAAGTAGCTGGGACTATAGGTGCCCACCACCATGCCTGGCTAATTTTTTGTATTTTTTAGTAGAAATGGGTTTTCACCATGCTAGCCAGGATGGTCTCGATCTGACCTCATGATCTGCTTGCCTTGGCCTCCCAAAGTGCTGGGATTACAGGCATGAGCCACTGCACCTGACCTAAAATTTTTAAATTTTATTATGAACTATATCTAGAGAAACACACATGTAAAACAGAGGCGTTATACTTGATAATTTCAAAACATAATAAAAAGCTGCAATAACAATAACTATGTGGTATTCACACAAAGTCAGATAAAAGTCATGATAGATCAAAATAGGGAGCCCAGTAATGAACTCTTCTGTGTATGACCAAATAATTTGCCACAAGGTTGCCATGAACAGACAATGGAGAAAATATAATCCCTTCAACAGTTAATGTTGAAAACTGGATATCTACATTGAAAAAATGAAGTTGGATGCTTCAATTGCACCATATACAAAAAGTATTTTAAACAAAATACTTAGACTAAAAAAAAAAAACTAATGAAACTCTTATAAAAAAATATAGTGTAAAGACATGACATTGGTCTTGGCACCATTTTCTTAGACACGCCATCAAATGCCTGAGCAACAAAGAGAAGAACAGAAAAATTTAACTGGGCTAAACTTCAAAATTTCTGCAATCAAATAAAACATTTAATAGAATGACAGTGTCATCCAAGAAATAGATGACAATATTTGAAAATCACATGTGATAAGGCTTAATATTGAAAATACATAAACAACTCCTAGAAGTAGACAACAATAATTGAATCACCTGATTTAGAAATGCACAAATGAACCGGGTACGGTGGCTCACTCATGTAATCCCAGAACTTTGGGAGGCTGAGGTGGGCAGATCACCTGAGGTCAGTAATTTGAGACCAGTCTGACCAACATGGCGAAACCCACCTCTACTAAAAATACAAAATTAGCTGGGCATGGTGGCATATCCCTGATCTTAGCTGCTCAGGAGACTGAGGCAGGAGAATCATTTGAATCTGGGAGGCAGAGGTTGCTGTGAGCCAAAATCACCCCATTGCACTCCAGCTTAGGCAACAAGAGCAAAACTCTGTCTCAAAAAAAATAAATAAATAAAAAAGAAAGAAAGAAATGGACAAATGATTAAGCTAAATTTTAATAAAAAGATATACAAATGGGAAGAAGTATTTGAAAGGTTGCACAAAACTAATAATTTATAGAAAAATGCAAAATAAAACCACAATACAAAATTACCTTGCATCAATTAGGATGGCCATTATAATTTTTTTAAAAAACACCATGTTGATGATGTAAAGAAATTGAAACCTATGTAAGTTTTTGATGAGAAAAAAGATGCAGCCATCATAAAAAAATCACGAATGTTCTTCAAATAATTAAAAATGAAATTATTATATAATACAGCAATATCATTTATGAATCTATATCTAAAATATGCAACACAGTAAAATGAAGACATGAGGTACTCTACTTGCATATCGCCCTACAGCAAGTATCATAACCCACCCTCTAAATAAATAAATAAATATATAAAAATTAAAAAATAAAAAATTTGTAAAAAAGTTTAAAGTATATTTCAAGGCTATAGTAATAAAAATAGAATGGCATGTACAGAAAAATGGACAACCACCAATGAAACAGAAATTACTATTCTCATGCATTTTAGACATGATGCAAAAAAAATTTTTTTAATGGTTTAACATAGAGTTTCTCAAAAATATGCAGATATTAGTGTGTCCCCAAAAGTAATGGCAAAGCAGTCAGTTTGTGCAGTCCCTGATAAGCCATAAAGAAAACTTTGGCTCACACTGTGAACTTGAAGAAAGATTATTGAAGTGAAAGTAGAATCCACAGAGAATCTAACAGTATGGGGCAGAAGGTGTCCCAATGTGAGCAAAAAAAAAAAAAAAAAAAAGACTGGAGATTCTCAGAAACTCTTTCCATCAAAGCACAGCTCTGCAGATCACATTTTAAAGACTGGCTACCTCCTTGACTTGTGGACAGCTCATCTGTGTCATCTTCTTCATTTGCTCTCACCTACCTGGGTGTTTGGCTACCATCTCACTTCTCTTCATATTCTGGGGCTCTTTATTTTGCTCCAGACAGGTGATCAAGTCTAGCTTAGGGACAGTAATACCTGTTTTATTAAGAAAAAAAAAGTAACATAAATCTTACTTATTTATTTATTTTTTGAAATGGAGTCTCACTCTGTTACTCAGGCTGGCATGCAGTGGCATGATCTCAGCTCACTGCAACCTCTACTTCCCAGGTGCAAACAATTCTTCTCCCTCAGCCTCCCGAGTAGCTGGGACTACAGGCACACATCACCATGTCCAGCTAATTTTTGTATTTTTAGTAGAGACAGAGTTTCACCATATTGGCCAACCTGGTCTCGAACTCCTGACCTCGTGATCTGCCCGCCTCGGCCTCCCAAAGTGCTGGGATTACAGGTGTGAGCCTGGTCATATAAATCTTGCTGAATTCTTTAATTACCAAACTAGTATTATGCTCAGTAAAGAGGATATAATAGAAAATTCTAGAAAATTAATATTGACTCATAACAAAACTTTCTAAACGTTTAGAAAATATTTTAAATTTGTAAGTCCTTAATTTCACTACTCAGTACTACTGAATCAAAAAATGTTGGTGGCAACTGAATTCTAAGGCGTGGGCAGCGCTATTTTACGCCATGACGTTTTTGGACTTGCCATTAACCTAGAGCAAAAGATACATAAGCTCAGGAAAGGGAAAAGTTCAGGTCAAGATAAAACATCTTGAAGAATTTGTTCTACACCAATGAATCCCCAAGATTTTCTTAAAATCGGAGAGCTAAAATTCATTCATGCAAAGCAGAAATTACCAAAATCATCTTAGAAAAGAGAGAAAGGCAATATATTAGGAATTGTGTATTGAAGTTTTCCTTACCCAGGGAGACCAGGTTTCTGTAGTTCTCTAACATCACATCTCTATATAAATTCCGCTGAGCATGATCCAGGCATTGCCATTCCTCCAGAGAGAATTCTATAGCTATATCTCTGTATGTCAACAGTCCCTGAAAAAAAACAAAAACAAAAACAAAAAAAAACACTCATGAACACGCACTTACCATATGGCCGTAAGCAGAGATTTTTATTTGACTCAAGTTAAAAAAGAGAGTAAAAAGAAGTGGTTCTCACTTATAAGAGTGACTAAAATTGTTCAATAAGAGAATTTTTAACATGGAAGTATGCTCTAACTCTGAGAAGAGAGGAGAGCATAAGATCCACAATACCATAGTAGCTTTGATACTTTTCTGTAATTATAAAATTAAGGGCATCAACATGGACATGTCCTTCTTTTTTCTTGTCTTCCTCTTTTTTTGACCGAGTCTCACTCAGTTGCCCAGGTGGGAGTGCAGTGGCATGATCTTGGCTCAGTGCAACCTCTGCCTCTTGGGTTCAATAGATTCTCCTGCCTCAGTCTCCTGAATAGCTGGGAGTACAGGCACAGGCCATCATGCCTGGCTAATTTTTGTATATTTAGTAGAGACAGGGTTTCTCCATGTTGGCCAGGCAAGTCTTGAACTCCTGACCTCACGTGATCCACTCACCTCGGCCTCCCAAAGTGCTGGGATGGCAGGTGTGAGCCACCTCATCCAGCCGGACATGTCTATTTTTTGAGTGCTATATTTACATCATACAGAATAAGTTGTGTATATTTCTCAGATAAAACAGTCATTATGAGTTGGAAGGTACCTTTTAAGTATTAATATGTGCAATAAACTAAATATTTTGTGAGATTTTATTTCAGGAGGTTTGGGATAAAGTCTGAATTTCTAAATTTTTAGCAAATTCACCAATGTTTCTAGCCTAATAAGAATATTTTGTCAAACATCCAGTAAGAGGCAGAGTCTGGGTTTTCCCCAGTTTCTCTTACCTGTAAATAAAGATAAGAGCCTTCATTTTTAAAAGACAAATATATGCAAAAGTCATCTAAAAAGAAAGGACAGCTTCCAGATTAAATGTGACGGTTTATGCACTTCAGCCAGTAAATTTCCTAACTGTACTTAATAATTAAGAGAGTAATAATTAACTCAACAGTGGAATAAAAAGTCATAGAGCTCTTGAACCAAGTGAATAAAATTGTTATCAACTTTATTAGGACATATTTTTACTACGTGCTGATGTACACAGGACACAACATTACTGCTGTGGTATTTCTCACCTCTCAGAAAAGTAAATTGTAACTAAATTTAAATATATATGTGTATATATATTATATTATATATATATAAATATTTTTATATATATATATATATATTTTTTTTTTTTTCTGAGATAGAGTCTTGCTCTGTCACCCAGCCTAGAGTGCAGTGATGCAATCTCAGGTCACTGCAACATTCACCTCCTGAGTTCAAGCAATCCTCCTGCCTCAACCTCCTGAGTAGCTGGGATTATAGGCACATGGCACCATGCTTGGCTAATTGTTGTATTTTTTTAGAGGAGACAGGGTTTCATCAGGTAGGCCAGGCTGGCCTTGAACTCCTGACCTCGTGTGATCTGCCTGCCTCGGCCTCCCAAAGTGCTGAGATTACAAGCCTGAGCCACAGTGCCTGGACTAAATTTAATTATAAAGAAACATCAGTTTTATGCAAAGTTGAAGGTGCAGAAAACTTCTCTGTCATGTAATTTTTAATAGTAATTTTAAGTAGTCTTTGTTTAGCACCCTAGAAAGCAAGTATCTCCTAATAGTTTTTTCAGAACTTTCTGGGTAACAAATGCCATTCTGTTTAAATGAACATGTTCTAAATCCTGTTCTGCCTGGAAATAATAGAGCACACAGATGCTCTACATGACATGTTTCACTTTTCACTAATATCCGAAGACAACTGTGTTTCCCCAGTAGAAATCTTGAGTATCCACACCTTCTCATGTTCAACAGCTACAATGGGAACATTTTAAATATTGCAGGTCATAAATTTGTAGTGAGAATTCTGTATGGCATAAAGAACCCAAGATGAAGAGAATGTATAGAATGCTAAGGAATATAGAAAAAAATATTTTTTTCAGAACCCCTTGACTATCATACAAATCACAAAAATTAGTTGAAACAAACTCATTAGGGATCAACAGCACAAGCAGAGAAGTAAAAATTTGCAAGTTCCGAACAGATGGCATTGCCAAAGGCAGAATGGACACCATGCTTAATCTGAGACATGCTTGCCTGAGAAAAAGTGATTGTTTTCTTTTCCTCCTCTTTCTCTGAAATGTATTTTCAGATAAGATGCTCTGGACGTATCAAACCCGCATCTTGAGAATACGCCTTTAAAACACAATCTATTCACCTGCTACCACCACACACACCCACGGGCAGAAAGACTGAGACTTGAAGAAAACATTCACCCATTTTCGTTGTTTATAACTGAAAAGATTTAAGAGCAATGGGAGAACAATGAGCTTCTCCATAACTATTAAAATATAAGTTTCTTTTTCCCTGCCCTCCCCTATCAGACACCAGCAATCTTCTTTACAGTAATGGGAGCATGAACTGCACTGACCTTTTCCTACCAAACGGAAACAGGGCAGGCAGTGCAGCCTTCCTTAGATGCGAAGGTTGAACTAAACTCTCCTGAATGTATCTTGAACCCCTCAAGTGTATAAGTTACTTGGTAATCTCGGCCCTGCTTTATGCAAAGTGATTCTGCAGGATCCAAAAGGGTCCAGGAATGGGCTTTTTCAACAAGTCCCCTGTAAATGCTGATTGTGCTTTCCCAGACACATTATTAGCATTAGCGAGAGAAAGCAGGCACAGCAAAGAGTCCCTTACACCCGCCACATCTGTCACAATACAAACACTTCTGGTACAAATAAAGACAACCAATCTCCACCCTGAAATACTACATTTTTTGTTGGGTTTTTTAAGTTTACAGAGAAAACAGAAGGCAGCAATATCTGAGTAAATCTGCACCTGGGAAATATGTACACATGTACTAATAAAATGTTTATTAAGCAGGTACTATGTGCTCAGGAGCATGTCACAGAACACTGTACTGGGAATAACACATTTTGTCATTTAATTTTCATACCACCCCAGGAGCTGGTACTAAGTGTTGAATAATTTTCAGCATTTAGATTAGGAGCACAGCAGTTTTATTTCTTCTCATGTTTCTCTATCATTAATTTTAAAAAGAAAATACATAGAGTAATAATTCAATACAAAAAACATATGGAATGATACAATTACATAAAAATTGAATAATCAGCTTCCAAATGGATATTTTGTAAATAATGAAATTAAGGCTGAAATAAAATTTTTCAAACTAATTAGAGATTAAATACAACATACCAGAATCTCAGGGTTACAGCTAAGTCAGTGTTAAGAACAAAATGTATATCACTAAACATCCACAACAAAAAGTTAGAAAGATCTCAATTTAAAAATCTAATGTTACAACTAAAAGAATTTCAAAAGAGCAAACCAACTTCAAGGATCGCAAAAGTCAAGAAATAACTAAAATCAGAACTGAAATGAAGAAGGTTGAGAACTAAATAACTATAAAAAGTTCAACGGGTCATGCGCTGCGGCTCACTCCTGGAATTCCAGCTCTTTCGGAGTCCAAGGCAGGCAAATCAAGAGGTCAGGAGTTTGAGATCAGCCTGGCCAACATGGTGAAACCCCGTCTCTACTAAAAATACAAAAATTAGCTGGGCATGGTGGCATATGTCTGTAACTCCAGGAGAATCGCTTGAAAATGGAAGGTGGAGGTTACAGTGAGCTGAGAGCATACGATGCACTCCAGCCTGGGTGAAAGAGCAAAACTCCATCTCAAAAAAGGTTGATGAAACCGGAAGTTGATTCTGTGTAAAAACAGTAAGATAGATAAAACACTAGACTAATGAAGAAAAAAGAAATAATTCAAATAAAAACAAAACAAAAAAAACTCAAACAGATGCTTGGGAGGTTGTGGAGAAATGGAATGCTTATACGCTGCTTGTGAGAGTATAAATGTGTTTAAGCATTGAGAAAAACAGTTTGGCATTTTTTCGAAAACCTGAAAACAGAATTACCATTCCCAGTCCCACAATTGGGAATATACCCAATAAATGTAAGTTATTCTACCATGAAGACACACGCATGCGTATGTTTATTACAGAACAATTCACGATAGCAAAAACCAGAAATAAACCTGTATGTCTTCAATGGTAGACTGGATAAAGAAAATGTGGTATGTATACACCATGAAATATGATGCAGCTATAACAAAGAACAGCATCATGTCCTTTGCAGCAACGTCAATGGAGCTGGAGACTTATTTTTAGAAAACTAGTGCAGGAGCAGAAAATAAAAAACTTTATGTTTTCACTTGTAGGTGGGAGCAAAATAACGAGAACATGTGGACACAAATAAGAGAATAGCAGACACTGAAGCTCAGTTCAGGGTGGAGGGTCGGAGGATGAAGAAAATCAGAAAACAAATCTGTTCAGTACTATGCTTAGTACCTGAGTGATAATATAATCTGTACACAAAAACTTCATGATATGATTTTACCTATATAACAAACTTGCACATATACTCCTGAACCTAAAATAAAAGGTAAAAGAAAAAAAATTCGATTAGGCGCAGTGACTCACGCCTGTAACCCAAGCCCACTGGGAGGCTGAGGCAGGCAGATCGCAGATCATTTGAGGCCAAAAGTTCAAGACCAACCTGGACAACGTGGTGAAATCCTGTCTCTACTAAAAATACAAAAATTAGTTGGGCCTGGTGGCCCGCATCTGTAATTCCAGCTACTCGGGAGGCTGAGGCAGGACAATCATTTGAACCCGGGAGGCAGAGGTTGTAAAAAGGTGAGATTGCACCACTGCACTCCAGCCTGGAGGACTGAGCGAGACTCCCCCTCCAAAACAAACAAACAAAAAAGCATTTATTGGAAATTACTATTTTGAAGAAAATAGTCGGGCCTAGGTAACCACAATCTGCCAATGAATCTCTGATGACATAACCAATAAATTTTCACTTGGATCTTACAAATAAAAAAACTAAATAACTGTACCAAACCAATTATTGAATTTGGTTTGCTTCATCGTGCAACTTATAACAGACTTTTCTTCAAGTCTCTCTCATGGATCACAACCCAGAAGCCATAGCTGGGCACTCTATGATTTTTTTTTTTTTTTTTTTTTTGAGATGGAGTCTTGCTGTGATGTGCAGGCTGGAGTGCCCTGAGGTCATCTCGCCTCACTGCAACCTCTGCCTCCCAGGTTTAAGCGATTCTCCTGTCTCAGACTACCAAGTAGCTGGGACTACAGGCGCGTGCCACCACACACAGCTAATTTTTGTATTTTTAGTAGAGATGTGGTTTCACCATGTTGGTCAGGCTGGTCTCGAACTCCTGACCTGGTGATCTGCCCGCCTCGGCCTCCCAAAGTACCGGGATTACAGGTGTGAGTCACCGCGCCCAGCCCGCTCTATGATTCTTGAATCCCACTTTGATTAAATTCTCTAATGTTTTTACAGTGACTCCCATACACTTCTAAAAGGAAAAATGAGGAACTAGGGACCCCAGGGACTACAGCTCTTACCAATTATGAATCCTGCACCCTGAGTCTGGATTCTCCCCTGATGACTTTCCCATCCCTGTACAATCTGGGTGAGATGAGGCGCTGGGAGTGCAGAGCTGCCCAGAGAGGACTCCAGCCCAGGGCAAAGCCACTGCAGAGGAGAAAGACAGAACTCCCAGGGTCCCAGCCGCTGGCCCAGGCAGCATCTTACGGTTTGAGGAGACTAACAGCCGAACTGGGCCAAGGAAGATTTGGGTCCTCAGACTCTGGAGCTGACTGCGAGGAAGTTTGGGTCCCGCTACAGCCACTTTCAGCCGGTTCCAACCAGGCCCCACTCCTCTCTCACGATGACAGACCCACTACTCACCATTTCTCGGCTTCCAGGGGTCCCGGTCTTTTAGCCATAAATCTGCGGATGCCTGCAGGACACAAGGCCACAGGAGCGAGGACGCAGAGCAGCGAAGAGAACTGGAGCTCTGGATACAGAGAAACACAAAAGGACCGGTAAAATTAGGGAGGCGTCCTGTTCTCTCCAGCTGCATGCCTGATTGTACAGTTTCTAATATACGGTCCGTGATTGGATAAGGTTTCAGACCCCACCCGTCACGCCCTGAGTGACGTAATATTTGATCAGACACTGGGCTGAATGAAGCAAAAATAACAGCCTAAGCTGCACTCTTTCCAGGCAGGGCTTCTTCCCTGATCTGAGCCAGGCCAACACCAGAGGATATTTGCATTTAACCTTGTGTGTAACTTCATATGCATTTATAAATGATATATAATATAGTTATTCATATATTGAAATAATATAATGACAATTATTTTAAAATTTCGGATTTTATGACCTTCCTTGCTGCGGATCCTTTGCAGTGATATAGTTTGACTCTGTGGCTCCACCGAAATCTAATCTCAAATTGTAATTCCTGTCTGTGCGCGGTGGCTCACGCCTGTAATCCCAGCACTTCCGGAAGCCGAGGCGGGCGGATCACGAGTTCCGGAGTTCCATACCGGCCTAGCCAATATGGTGAAACCCTGTCTCTACTAAAACTACAAAAATTAGCCAGGAGTGGCGGCGAGCGCCTGTAGTCCCAGCTACTCGGTGGCCTGTGGCAGGAGAATCGCTTGAACCCAGGAGGTGGAGGTTGCAGTGAGCTGAGATGGTATCATTGCACTCCAGCCTGGGCGACAGAACGAGACTCCATCTCAAAGAAAAAAAATTTTAATTCCTACCTGTCAGGTCAGGGACCGGGTAGGAGGTGCTTGGATCACTGGGGTGGATTATCCTCATGCTGTTCTTGTGATAGTAAGGGAGCTCTCAAGATACCTGATGGTTTAAAAATGTGGCACGTCCCCCCTCCAAGTTCTCTCCCTTTTTCCACCATGTAAGATGTGCCTTGCTTTCCCTTCACCTTCTGTCATGGTCATGACTGTAATTTTCCTGAGGATTTTTCAGTCATGAAGGACTATGATTCAATTAAACCACTTAAAAAAAATTACGCAGTGTGAGGTATTTGTTTACAGCAGTGTGAAAATGGACTAATACAGGCAGGCAGCCTGAGATTTCACAAAGGAGGCAATCCTCTGCAGTAAAATATGAGCTACATGTAAATTTTGAATTTTCTAGTGGCCAAATGTTAAAAAGTAAAAAGAAAAAGGTGGGGCCGGGCCCAGTGGCTCACACCTGTAATCCCAGCGCTTTGAGAGGTCCAGGTGGTGAAAGACCTGAGGTCAGGGGTTCGAGACCAGCCTGGCTGAAAAGGCGAAATCCCAGCTCTACCAAAAATAGAAAAATTAGCTGGACGTGGTGACAGGCACTTGCAATCCCAGCTGCTAGGGAGGCTGAGACAGGAGAATTGTTTGATCCCGGGAGGCAGAGAATGCAGGGAGCTGAGATCGCACCACAGCACTCCAGTCTGGTGACAGAGCGACTCTGTCTCAAAATAAAAAAGAAACAGGTAGAATTGATTGTAACAATTTAATCAGTCCAATATATCCAAAATATTATTATTTTACTATGTGATTAGTATATAATGGTTAATAAAGCCTATACATTTTTGAAGCTAAATCTTTGAATGTACCCTTGTATTTTACCTTTCCAGCACATTGCAGTTCAGACCAGCCACATTCCAGCACCCTGTGGCCATGTCAGAGGCATTTGAACCAGATCAACTGCATCTGGAACAGGTGCTGGGTAAAATGGCGCTGAAACCTACGGGACTCCTATTCCATGAGGTCAGGCATTCTGAGTCACAGGGTAAATAGCAGATTGGCACAAGATGCAGTTCACAAAGACCTTGCTGATAAAACAGTTTGCAGTAAAGAAGCCACAAAAATCCACCAAAACCAAGATGGGAATGAAAGTGACCTCTGATTGGCCTCACAGATCGTTACAAGCTAATTATAATGTATTAGCATGCGAAAGATATTCCCATCAGCTCCAAGACAGTTAACGAATGCTATGGCAACATCAGAAAGTTACCTTACGTGGTCTAAAAAGAAGAGAAACACTCAATTTTGGGAATTGCCCACTCCTTTCTTGTAAAACTCATTAATAATCCACCCCTTGGTTAGCAAATAATCAAGAAATAATTGTAAGTATCTTTAGTTGAGCGACCCACACTGCTGCTCTGCCTACGGTGTAGCTATTCTTTTACTCCTTTACTTTCCTAATAAATTTGTTTTTGCTTTGCACTGCAGACTTACCCAAAATTCTTTCTTTTCTTTTTTTTTTTCTTTTAGACAGAGTCCCACTCTGTCACCCAGGCTGCAGTGTGGTGGCGCCTTCTTGGCTCACTGTAACCTCTGCCTCCTGGGTTCAAGAGAGTCTCCTGCCTCAACCTCTGGATTAGCTGGGATTACAGGCACGCACCACTATGCCCAGCTAATTTTTGTCTTTTTAGTAAAGATGGGGTTTCACCATGTTGGCCAGACTGGTCTCGAACTCCTGACCTCAAGTGATTCTCCTGCCTCTACCTCCCAAATTGCTGGAGTTACAGGCAGAAGCCACCACCCCTGGCTCTAAATTATTTCTTGTACGAGATCCAAGAACCCACTCTTCGGTTCCGCGTTGGGACAATTTCTGGAAGCTTCTTTTCAGTGAATCACAAAGGGATGATACTAAGGGAACCCCCAACCCAAAGGAAACAGACGGAATCACCAATTGGCTAACTTTGTAAGTGGTGGCGTACCCGGGTAAAGAATGGGATTGGGTGGAGTTAGAGTTTCTCCTAAGACAGATGAGATAAAAAGTCCCTTTTAATAAAAGGCAAGAACACTTGACAAAACTTGTGTTTGAGGCGCAACTTGGAAAGGTTGCACCTTCGAAAGGTCTTTCCTAAGATTTAGGGGGTTAGAGGCCCCTCTCAGTAAAGTCCCTCTCAGCTAAGATTAGATCTGGCATTATAGAATGTTAACCACTGTTGCCTTTGTGGTTTTTTTTGTTTTATGTTTGTTTGTTTGTTTTGAGACAGAGTCTCACTCCTGTCACCCAGGCTGGAGTGCAATGGTGAGATTTTGGCTCACTGGAACGTCTGCCTCCCAGGTTCAAGTGATTCTCCTGCCTCAGCCTCCTGAGCAGCTGGGATTGTAGGCGCCCACCACTGCACCCAGATAATTTTTGTATTTTTAGTAGAGATGGGATTTAATGTTGGCCAGGCTGATCTCAAACTCCTGACCTCAGCTGATCCACCCACCTCAGCCTCCCAAAGTGCTGGGATTACAGGCATGAGCCACCGTACCTGGCCTTGTCTTTGGGTGAATCTACCTTGCACTTTTTGCTAATGGCTGTGGCTGACAGAATTAGGCAAGTACAGGATCGTGGAACATGGGGAGCTTTTTCCTCCCTAAAGTGGGAAACTTGAGAGCAGATGGAACTGCCGAAAAAGATTCTTTCACAACCAACAAGCGATCACCTAAACTTTTGATTCACTGCAATGCATGAGTCTTTTTCTGACTTTCCTGAGCTCTTCACCTTTGCTGCTCCACCATAGGCAATGCTTTTCTCTCTCTCTCTTTCTCTGTCTCTTTCTTATCTTTTCTGTTACTATGGGTTACCATGTTGTCCAGATATCACATGTTGAAACTTCTGGTCAGAAGTCCCTGAAACAGACCGGGCATGGAGGCTCACACCTGTAATCCCAGCACTTTGGGAGGCTGAGACAGGTGGATCACCTGAGGTCAGGAGTTCAAGACTAGTCTGGCCAACATGGTGAAACCTCGTCTCCACTAAAAATATAAAATTTAGCCAGAGTGGTGGTGGGTGCCTGTAGTTTCAGCTACTCAGGAGGCTGAGGCAGGGAGAATTGCTTGAACTTGGGAGGCAGAGGATGCAGTGAGCCGAGATCGTGCCACTGCACTCCAGCCGGGAAGAAAGGAGAGATTCCGTCTCAAAACAAACAAACAAACAAACAAAAAGAAACAAAAAAGAAGTCCCTGAAACAAGTAACAACAAAATAACGGATAAAGTTTCCCTCTTGTTTTATGTTCTTGGGAGCTTGACCTTGTAGCCATGTAGCAGTATTTTTTCTTGGTTTCTACCATCCAGCATACAGAAATTTTGAAATTTTTGTTACAGTTAACCCTAAAAATGATCTTGAGCAGTTAAAAACCTTTGCAAGCTCAAAATTGGCTGCTGGAGGCTTCTTCTGGGAGACTCCAATGGAGCCTGCTCAGTGCTGTAGCTCAGTAGCTGGGCTTTGCTGTCTTGCAGTGGCAGCCTGAGTTCAGGCTTCAATTTCTGGCTTAGAAAATGAGTCCTTTGTGATTTGATATCTGTGTGAACATTTGTTGGTTCTCTTCCCCTCCAAGAAGCATTTTGGATTTTCCTTTCTCTGAGCTACCTTTGAAGATTCTAGATTTTGTAAAAACTGCTTGCCACCTTTTTGAAAATACCTTGTACACTTGTGGTTAGGTTAATAACCTTAGTTAAAGCTTATTGGTTTCAGGAGGTGGAGGTTGCAGTGAGCTGAGTTTGGCCATTGCACTCCAGCCTGGGTGACAGAGGGAGACTCTGTCTCAAAAAACAAAACAAAACAAAACAAAAAACAAAAACAAAAAAACTTATTGGTTTTGCCTGGGAGGTTATGTTAGTAAAGTTCAAAAGTCAGAAATATGGGCAGTGTGGCATGGCTAAAGCCAAGTAATAAGAGAATTAAATAATTTTTTTTTTTTTTAAAAAGAGCATCATGGTTAAAAGTTGACTTAACTATTATTGTTATTTTATTTTATTTTTATTTTTTTGAGATGCAGTGTTGTTCTGTAACTCAGGCTGGAGTGTAGTGGTGCAGTCTTGGCTCACTGCAACCTCCATCTCCTGGGATCAAGCGATTCTCCTGCCTCAGCCTCCTGGGTAGCAGGGATTACAGACACCCACCACCACACTCGGCTAATTTTTCTATTTTTAGTGG